GTGGGTGAACTCTGGATAACGGTGTATAAATGTTACTATCCTCAGTTTTCTGAGGGGAATTAGGGGTCTATCTGTCCAGATTCTGCTGTCAGGGACAAGCTGCAAATGTGGGGTAATTTCACTGCATGCCATGGAATTACTCCCCATTTATACTGCTCTAAACGGGAGCAGCTTTTCGTATGGAGGTGACCAAACCGAGCCATAAATACACAGTTAACTCGAGTCATGAATACGGCTCCCTTCCTCCTTCTCTAACCACTCAACTAAACACCCTCCCAGAGCTCGGAAGAGAACCCAGGCGTCCTGACTCCCAGTTCGCCCCCTGCTCTAACCCACTAAATCCATTACCCCTCCTGGAGCTGGAAATACAGGCCAGGAGTTCTGGCTCTACACACTGGACTCAACTCTCTCCCAGGGCTGAGAACACAAATGAGGTGTCTCAACTCCCAGTCCCCTCCATTAATGACTACATTAGACTGCATCTCAGCTTCTGTGCCAGTGACTCTCCATTTCCATCAGGAACAACTGTTGCGAGTGAAATGGAGAGTCATTGGGCCAGGGTAAGTGCGTGAGAGTGATTCTCCAGGGGCCAGCGGTCAGAGCTGGGGTTTCCGCCAGTGGCTCCTGCCAGCCGGGATCTCAGCCCGCTGCCAGCCTGGGGTTCCTTTTCCCAGGCTGGCAGCGGGTGCTGAGTTGCACCGGCAGCGGGACCCCGGCTGACAGGAGCCGGCAGCGGGAACCCCAGAGCAGGGGCGGGCTGAGCGGCTCAGCCGGTGCCGCGGGCTACCAAAAATCGGCTTGTGTGCCACCTTTGGCACGCATGCCGTAGGTTGCCGACCCCTGCTCTACACACTGGACTCAACTCCCTCCCAGAGCTGGGAACACAAATGAGGTGTCATGACTTCCATTCCCCTCCTCTAGTGACTACATCAGACTGCATCTCAGCTTCTGTGCCAGTGACTCTCCATTGCCATCAGGAACGACTGTTGCGAGTGACAATGGAGAGTCATTGGACCAGGGTAGGGGCGTGAGAGTGATTCTCCAACGTGGTACTTGGGGCACTCACCTGGTGTCTGGAAGAGCCAAGTTCAAGTCCCTGCTCCCATGACTATTTAATTCTTGATACAAAGTGGAGCAGCTTCAACGGGAGAGACTGAGACAGTCTCATTTCAGAACAACCCATAGCCTAGCGGCTAAGGCACCCTCCTGTAAATTGGGAATTCAAATCCCTTCTCATCATCAGTCAGAGGGAGAGATTGAACCTGAGTCTGTCACAGGCCAGCCAAGTGCCCTAACCACTCAGCTTCAACTTATGAGGTGTGCCTGTCCCACAAGTACCCTTTCAGCAATTTAATAGACAGAAGAAACAAAAAACTGAGAACTAGACACAAACTGATAGATAGATACAAGATTCAGAGAGTGAGAGAGAAACACAGAACTAACACAAACTAACAGGTAGATAGAGAAGTAAAAACAAACTAATGAAGAAAAGTAAAAGCAGACAGACAGCAGTAACAACAAACTAATGTATACAGAGAGAAAAGTAACAACGAGCTGATAGTGTTTGTCACAATTTTTGGACAACTTTAATGTAAACTCTTCATTCCATTCTAAAAAGTATGTGTGTCAATTTGATCAATTCCCCCACTCCCAATAGAAGGAAACTGAGGCACGAATATTCTGCCCCCTCTTTCCTAAGATAACTGCTTTGGACTGCCTCAGTTTCCCATGCTCAAATTGAGCTAAGAGTGAAACTATGAAAAAAAAATCTAATGTCACTTACAATTTCATCCTTTAAGTGCCTCTCTGTCACCCCCAAATATATTTCATTGCAAGAGCAAACTTACCATGCCGGTCTCTGAGATGTCTTTTCTCCTCCAGCTACAGACTGCAATTTGTTGCCCCTCTCTCTCTAGCCCCATACACACCCCTCTATCGATCTATTTCTCTATCTAATGCCCCGATCACTGTATTCTGAGGCCGTTCCCCCACCACACTGAGGCTGAGCTGCTGGAGATACACTGAGATCTGTGCTGTCTGCAGATGAGCTGTGTGTCAAAAACTTTGGTGCTGAGGGGAGGTGATTTATCCATGTCTGTTTTCTACGGGCTTGAGGGACTCACTCCCTGGAGCCCTCAACAGCCCAGAGCCAACAATATTTTACCTTGCCTTCTACTTCCCTGAAGAGTTTTCAGAAACTAAAATAATCACAGTTACAACGAGGCAGCAGGATCTAAAGCAAAGATTGTGAGGCAAACACTGAGGGCACACAGGACTGTACTCCAGAGATCTGACATCAATTCCTAACCCTGCCGCTGACCTGCTGTGTTACCTTCGGAAAATCATTCCCTAGGGCTGTCTTTCCCCTCCCACCCTTTCCCTGTCTTTTCTACTGTAGGCTCCTTGGGGTGGAGACTGTGTCTCACCTAATAAAATGGACCTCTCATATCAGATGCAACTATCAGATAATTAATTAATAAATATTTAAAAGCTAAGGTCAAAGGTGTCCTGAGATCTGATCCCAACTATTCCTCTGTCTTTGTTCAGTCCCTTCACCACTCCACTCCTCAGTTTGTCATCTGTCCAATCAGGATACTAATTACAACTTGGAGTATAATTCATAATGAGTGGAGGTGCTCAAAAATATCTTCCTGGCAAAAAAAAATTGCTTGTCATTGAAAATAATTTTAGTGTGGAAAAAACTCATTTTGAACTCATTTTTCTATGGGTTTTTGTTTTTTTCAGTGGGGAGAAGTTGTTTTGGGTTTTGTTTTCCCGAAAACCTGGAGATGGAAAACTTTTTTGTATATTTTTTTCAGGTTTGGGGGGGAAAGTTTTCAGTATCAGAAATCTTTTTTCCAAAACTAGAAAATATTTACCATAAACTTGCTGTTTTACTAGAAAAGTTTATTGAAAACCAAACACTTTTCAGTCTCCAGTTTCATTGTTTTGCCCATCCCCCATCCAAAAGCAATATTATGGGATGTTTCAATGAAAACAAAAAAATTGACATATCCCACAAAAATATAATTTTCACTTTTGACCAGCTTTAATAATGACTAATTAAACTCAATTAAATGCATTTGAGTTGATGCGGGTGCAACATTCATTGCAATTTTATTTGACAACATCTGCTTGTTATAGATCATAGGAACTGTCTAACTGAGTCAGACCTTTGGATCATCCAGTCCAGCATTCTGTCCTGATTCAGAGGAAAGTCTAAGAGGCCCTATAGAGGACAATTCTCGAATAACCTGTCAATGGCGGACTCTTATCATCATCATCAGCTAGTGAATAGTCTATGGCGTGAGGAAGGTGAGTTTCTACCCCTCATAGAGTTTTATCTGCTACTAAGCAACTGCATGCTCTCATTATCCAAATAGGCTGCAGTGCTCAAAGGAACCAACTGGATTTTTGTGTCTAAATCCCATTCACTTTCAACAGGAGAGGAGTGCCCAGCTCCATTAATCCTCTTTGAATATCTCACTTAGTTTATTATTAATTATTATTTTGTAAGCGGCCCCGCTCTCCCGGCCAGAGCACCGGACCCCACTTCCCCGGTTGCAGCGCCAGCCGGTGTAGTGACGCCAGACCCCCGGACCCATTCCCCTAGCCGTAGCCCCGGGCTGAGCGCAGCGAAACCCCCGGACCCAATCTCCTGGCCGGAGCTCCGGACCCTGCTCCCTGACTCCCCCCGCCGCAGTGCCCCGTTGCAGCGCCGGACGGAACACCGAGAGACCCCCGGACCCGCTCCACCAGCCGGAGCCCCGGGTGGAGCGCAGAGAAACCCCCGGACCCCGCTCCCCCTT